TGTGGGCACGATGCGACACCTTCCTTGGACTGCTTCTTTGCTTAACTCTCCCAAGGGTGCAGTTCAGTTCCCACAGTCATCTCTTCCCTCAAACGCTTCCCTGCTTCTCGGTGAGTTAGACCATCAGTGCCAGCCCTACAGATTTTTATGCATCTGCTTTCTCCCAGGGATGCCCAATCTGGCACTAGGGAGAACAAGGATGCCTGGACCTTCAGCATTTCCACAATGAATTTTAAGCATTTTACCCTGCAAACATGAAGTGAGTGTTTACGCCCACCCCCCGCAGACTGCACCCATTTAGGAAGCTGTTTGTTCTCAGCACATCTGTGCTGTAGACAAGAGGTGCTGGCAGATGGGTTTAGTTCTTGGGTAGCAAGTGACACCAGGTGTATTCCAAAATACACAGCTTTATGGGGCAAAGATCTGTGCTAGAAGTGACCAACATGTTCTGGTGAGTATTACACCCATCGCCCCAGCTTCGGGACCTGAGGTAACGCCTCTGGGAAAATGGAATTGGCAGAGGAGCAGGCGGAGACCAAATAGGATATCGTAATTCCTTGCCTAGCTCAATTCCTCACTTGTGCTACTGGACTGGTAGCCTCCTGGGAGAAGAAAGTGCACTGTCAGAGGAACATTTCACACCAAGTCTTGAATTTCTGTATTTCTAAAAGTCCTCCTGAAGGCTGAGGACTCCTCTTTAGGTTACCAGCATCAGAAGCCTTAAGGGAATAGAAGATTTGCAAAGGGCTGTGGTGGAGGAGTTGGGAATTCTGCTTGGCCAGACTTGAGGGAAAAAGAAAGAGAGTAATGTATTCATACTGAGCAATTAATTTATTTTTCTAGAAACGTTCTCCTGCTTAAATGATAACCAAGCCCTGGCACTGCTGAGTGCTATGATTTAATACCCCCATAATTAAAGACTTTGTTGCTATCTGAAGTCCTCACTGTGCAGAGAAAAATCATCTCAAGAGCAGTAGAAATGTTTTTTAAAAGTCAAAGGCTGATTAGCATGAATACCTGCAAGAAGGCTTCTGGCACAAAGTCCTCAAGCCTCCTGTCAGCCATTACCCCCCATCCCCAGGGCAGAGTGCAGGTGCAGGGTCCAAAATATCCACCAAAATATTCCCCATTAAGCTCACCTGGAGTAAGATGGGTGAGACAAAGAGAGAAGTAATCCAGGAGCACTTAGGCACTCCCTAAGGGACAAGGGTCACTTACCCAGGACACACTGGGGAAGATGTTGGCTCTGTTCTAGCTACAGTGAGCTCCTCAGTCCTCAAATACTGGAGCATGCGGGGAGCTTTAAAAAAACCTGTATATTAGAGGCTGCACCACTCACACAGCAACCCAAAGGTTTCTTTGGAACTACTGCTTTGACAACAAGTCAAAAGTCTTTATTGTTTTACCACACTTAAGATGCCTGTATTGATCCCACAGTCTCCTGACTATGCTTTGGCCATAAGAAAACAGTCACATAAATCATTTAAAAATGAATTAACAGGGCCAGCAACTCGATGAAATTACAACTCTAACACAAACCAAGGGCACAAAATTACAACACTGTATTCCACCAAAAGGACTTCCATGGCTCCCGAGCATGAATTTACACAGAAACACACACCTTTCTCTTGCCACTCAGGTACGGAGCTTTCAGTTTATGTAAAACGTCCATGTGAACAATGTGAATTTACCATGAAACTAAAGCAAGTGTCAGTGGCAGACTGTTTTCACATGTCAAAACAGACGACTATGAACTTTAAAACCTCCCTCTTCTGCTTTATTGACAGGTAAATTGTTCAAAAATTTTCTCACAATTCAATAATTACAAAGACTTAGACTTACATTAAAAAAGTAAAAACCAGAAAACCCCCAAAGCAGTAGTGTGCAGCTCTAACTGAGCCCCTTTATCAATAATCTGAGAAAAAGAGCAAGTACTGTCGAACACTTAACGTAACAGGATTAAATGTTGACTAGAACACTCAGTTTAAACTAAAGATAAGTGCACGTCCTATACAGTGTTTCAGAAAAGAACATTAGCCATTGGTATACCATTAGCCCATTTAAACCAAATTTTAAATAAGTGACATCCAACTGTCATAAAATTGGCACAGAAGGCACACTAGTGTGACAATGACAAACTGGATATGCCAGCCACTGAATTAATTACAAGCTTTTAATGAAACATGGTCACAAATCTTTGATTACTAAATGTATAATACAGGGAAGCATGAGATTAAATATACACGCAAAACATCACCACTGCACGTGGGCCATAGCAAAATATACAGGAGTGTGTTGTGCATTTTTCTACATGATCAATACTTGATTAATAATCATGGGGTCTTCATGCAGGTGAGGATACAATTAATGAGAAAAGCAGCACCCCCAGTTACACATCCTTCACGTTCCACTTTGGTAACCGATAAAACAGACTGATGTTTTAGTGTGATACAGTCCCTTAGATCAAGCAGACTTTGAGGGCAATGTGGCCATGAGAAGGCTTGCTAGCTAAAAAATGTAGTGTGTCCTTACACCAAAAAACCCAGGAGAAACAACTTCTCAGAAGGAGATAGGCAGGAACTAGGAGTAAAATTTTTTTCACAGCAGTAATTACCAATATTTTAAAAGCCCTGACTAATGGCTGACTGATGAGGACTAAAAAGCAGGGTATGGGTAAAAGGTAACTGGCAGTAGTCCTATGTACAAGACTAAAAAGTTGGTAGAAAGATAGAAAGACAGTTACGCAGCTGTATATGTAATGGCTAAATGAATTAAAAGGCCACAAAACTACAACCAACTTTTATTTGACTTCCTGGTGATTCTATTGATGTTGGAAACGACCTACAGCTTCCTAGCATTCTCTTTAAGATTTAGGAAACAAATAGTTATGGGAAAAAGGGAAAAGTGTATTCATTTGAGGATGTAACTAGACCTGCTCGCATTTCCTATTTAAAGGTCCAAATTGTGTCTAAAAGGATTTCCTGCTAATGAGACATTACATCATTCTATAGAAAAATAATATTCCTGATATTGTAGCAACATTATCAGTATCTCTCTATTTTTTTTTCAGCATAAGAATAAGACTATTTACTGGTGGCCTTCAATGCTCCTATGCAATAAAACTGTGTCACAGCTGTGCAGAAAGGAATCAACCGTAACTGAGCAGTGAACAATTCTGCATAAAAAGCTTGATCACTATTAGGTAAAGAATTTTCTTCATTTCAATAGTTTGTATCTACAATCTGGAAATATAATTATTCTTGTACAACACTAGAGATTCAGTGTCAGTCTTGGCACTAGCATCTGAGACAGCTTTGCCCTGCTCTTGAATATTCCATGGAGTAGTGGATGATCGAAGCGAGAATGGTGAGAGCAGTAGTGTTACGCGTCACAGGTTGATTGGTCCAGTCCATCTAGTGTAAGCTGATTCCTATGAGGAGAGTTGGGACTTGGGGGACCACTTGGATTTGAGCTGTTGGATGGAGTAGAGTGTTTGGTGGAGTCTGAATCAGGCTGTTAACGAGAAACATTATTAAAAAAAATTACGCTTACTTAAAATCAATTTTTTACACTCAAAAGCTTTCAAAGGCACTCAAAAATTAGGGTGAACAACACCTACGAAGCAGTGTGGATTAGATTCATTTCGTAGCTAAACATTCATACAAATACTGCATTATCATCAACAGGCCGTAGCGCAGTCCTGAAGGTGACCTTCTGACGTAACAGGAATTATGGCAAAGTACGTGGAAATGGCTAAATCCCAGGTTCCTCTCCTTTAGCCACAGCAAAGTTTTCCTGATGGCCTGATGGAATGCATCTATCTGTCCACCACTGTTCTGGATTTACCAGCCTGCGTTTTTTAAGCAATTTTTATAGCCTAGGATTAGATTTATCTGCCCATATAAACAAGTAAACAATTACTGTCAAATCATATTCAGTTTGTCCAGAAGGAAGGAAACAAGCATACGAACTGTTCACAAAACAGCATCAAGCATATGAAGTGCCTGACAAAAGAGTGAAGGTTGCCAAGTATCAGGCTGGAGATCTGGAAACAAAATATACTTACTGGAGACTCCCTATGTCAATATCTAATAAAGACAGTCTATCCACAGTTATTTCCTCAGCGTTAGATCGCTTGTTGGATATTTGCCTTCACAGACTGGTCTCA